AAATTGGTTGCAAAATCCTGATGAAGATCTCAATCAAACGTGACGAATGAAAAATGACGTTTCACCATGCTGTGTGCGGTAACTTCTTACGGATATCATTTCGATATTCTGCGACTGTGTCTAGTATAACAGTTAAACGTTTTCATTTTAAAGGTAATTGCTTGGATAGACAAGATGCGTTATATTACCTCTCGTAAGTGTAGCTGCCGTTTCTCACATTCGTGGGCGTGGCAATCCAACAATGCATATATTCTTTACTCCGACTAAGGATTAACGTCCGAAACGTCTGTAAGTTATTTCACATACTTTTTTTACGGTGTTAAATTTATCTTTTTACACAACTGTTTCTTTAGAAACACCGACGCAGCTCACACTAGTTTACCGCTAGTTCCCACCATATTCCAAAATGTATAAAATCGACTCATATATTTCTATAAAATGCACCTAGAAATGTATAAATTAAATTCATGCCGGATAGGGTAAAAATATTATAACTGTGCAATGTGAATATTGTAATAAAAATAAAAAATAGTGTTAAACTAGGCATATCATTGTTTTTGATTATTTATTTACCAAGATAACCTTACACTTTTAGTGGTTTTTGTATACAATAGATAGTAAAACTTTGTCATCTGACTAGCAATGTTATCAAAAATTCATATCATTGCGAAATCTTTCTCAGCTGAGTACATGTAATCTTTCTGAATCGTTCTTTGTCCGATCTCTTGTCGTGACCTGAGATTTTTACGACTTCATTCTGACGGTGAATCACCAAAAGTATCGCATCCAACATATTCCTCAGTTTTCGCGTCTTCGTCGATTGACTGGCGCACTTGAGACGGCTACGTTTCACCCCTTCGTTCTGACGATGCATTATCCTGTGCGGAATTATCAAAGGTGTAACACCAAACGCCGGAATTGGGAAAGCCATTTGCTGAGGAAACAGTTTAAACTGGAATTGAAATCAGCACAGATGTGACAGCATATATGGGCACGCGACCATGTAATATTCTGTTTATCATATAATTGCACATGAAAGCAAATTATGTCGGTAAAATACCTTTTTTTTACTTCAACCATACAGAGAAACCTCGAATGTGTTATTTTCACTAGCGAACAGCTTTACCAAATGGAGAAACATAGGTATTTCATAAATAATTATATATGATAAATATTTGTAATACACAATGTTGCTATATGCAGAACTGTGATGGTTTCTAGGCAACCCCATCCATACATGCATTGCGGGCGAAGGAAATTTGATTCTTAACCATTCAAATATTTGTTTCAAATGTCTGACCTCTTAGTAGTTACCTGATCATTAATTGCTATCGTGGGTGTGTACATTTTTCAATTTCCAAAAGGCAAAGGAGAACTGCAATTCTGATTGGCTGGTGAACAGACTGCCAATCAAAGGGCTTTCATTCAATTTAACTGGTTAAGATCTCATCATGCAACCATTCAATTCCACAACGTACKTATCAGTTCGACTGTMACTCGAAAGCACTTCATATCTATTATCAAAAGAACACTGCTTGCTTTTAACTGTTTGTTTAGAGCTTACTACCATTTCAGGAGACGTTGCTAAATTCATTGTATTATTTACTGGAATGATTAGTATTTATTAGGAACAGTCACAACTGATCAGGGCATATAATCATTTATTTTTTGAAAACTTCCCCGAAACTGTGAGGACCTGTGAGTTCTTTCAATTTGCGCAAAACAACAAAGTCATAATGACGTCCAAATTACATGAATGAAAGTTTACAGCTCTTGGTGGGTGACTATTTTGTTCTTAGGGATGTTGTTCTTAGTTATTGATGAGACGTATGTTATGTAAACGTTTTCTTGTAATTTTCTTTGGTTGTGGTGTAATTAAAAGTCAAAAAAGTTTACAGCTTTTACAATATACAAAGCACACTTTATTGAATAACTATATATATTAACAATGAACTTTTGATTTACAATCTTAATAACTATTGATACTTTTTGGGTGTTGTTTTCAATCTGCAAGATCATCTTTCCGCGGCTTCTGATGGTGAACGCCATCAAAGTTTTTACTTTCTTTTAAACAGCCTTCTTGCTATCTTTCCTGAAAATGAATATTCCATGTTCATCACTATAAAACCAATAACCGCACCTATAAAACAAGGTCTTGCATGCTTTCCCTTAGATATAGAGCGAATGCAATCTTTACTGTCTTGAAACTAGCGAGTGTCAAATGAAATATTGAATATTTCTGGAAAATTCATCATCATCATTTCCTCTTCACACTAGCCTTGGCTCAGATAATGGAGGTACTAGTATATGTGGAGTATAATAAAGATTAGCCTTCCAATCACGACCAGAGCGTTCATTATCCTCGGAGTAATACATTAAGTGAAAAGAAATTCGACTTACCTCTTTTAAACGTATAAAGAGTTCTGGAGTTTTCACGATCATTGGGTGAATCGCCCATGGTATAACAGCATTTTCCCTTTTCYTTTTTTTTATCTTCGGAGTTTTCCGCGGTACGCTGTTGATACGACCAGTTTTCCGTATTTGGGACGAATAATGCATCAGCTTGGTCTGTGGAATCACCAATAACATGACATCCACCGGGGCCACATTTTGGAAAACCAATTGTTGGAAAAACAGTTRCACTGAAACAAAAAACCACTAAAGTGACAACAGAGAAAGTTTTGAGGCCCATAATTAGACACTTTATGCGAGCAGTTCGAGTTGTGATGGTTTCATTGAAAGTCTTATTTATATATACTCATTCTTATTCATATACACATTGTTTGATTGATATTCTATACTTGTTTCCTTTTTGAAATTTTAGCTTTTTTGTGTTGAGTCAAATTGGAATCATAAAGATAATTGCTAAATAACTAGGCAAATATTTGAGCTAAATGTCCGATTTATTGGATATTGATTGATAGTTAACTGTAAAACGCATCGTAGCATCAATTCAATCAATCTTATTGGCTAGTTAACAGACAAGTGGTTGTCAACCAAAGGCGTTCAATAAGTTTCCTTTAAATTTCATGCATGAAATATATATATATTTTAATCAAATTTCAGTTCTACAGTGTTAACTAAAGGCTATCAATCGCTTGTCATTTCGACTATGTATTGCAAGGAGAATATTTTGCTTGCTTTAAAATATTTCCACAGGAAAGGCGAAGGCGTATTACGTGTTAAGTAGACGTTGTTCTATGTAATATTCGTTAGTTGTTTAGTAATTATGGGGYAATTATAACTGTTTGTATTGTTACGGAAATCTCTTTCAAGCGCGCGCTGTTTTGAGATGGAAGTGAGGATCTCACGTCTAGCCGTGTTCTTAGAGCGCATTTTATAYTTGAAGAATAAAGAAATTTTAACCTTTACAATCACTATTTAATGTGAATCAATTTAGAAGAACTTGCAATAATAAAAAGCAAAATTAAAATTAAAAACAAATTAAAAACTAGATAACAAATTGAAAAAAATTTAAGATTATATATAATAAATATCTGTATATATATGTGGTCTGAGATGGTGTAATAAATGTAGTAAATGAATGATCTTACCATTAATAAGTGCCGCGAAGAGCTCAGAAAAAATCTAAACCCACGACCTTCCGTTTTCTGGTCTTCGCTTATTAATAGTAAGATCATTCATTTACTAGAATAAATATTTCAAATGCTGTTAGTATAAGAAGGGAAATTCTTGAGATATGTTAAGTTCAAGTGCTATATAAAAGGAATCCTTAAGTCTGTTGGTCCTACAGACAGGGAATATGCACTTTCATGTGTGCCTAAGATTAACATTATACTTATTTAAATTCGGGAGAAACTTAATTTATGATAATTTATGATAAGGGTGATTTGATTGGTCATCAGGAGGCGAACGCCGGCCTRRGAAGGRCTCAAAATGAAGCAGTTGAATGGAAGGCGTTCTGCCCCAAAGARATCATTACCTTACCGTGGTAGTGCAGTTTGCGTGCTTCCGCGACCCCTAGAGATATGTCAACTGGAGTTTTATACTCCTGGCGTCCTGGTAGGGTCACCCATGTCGAACAGGTCGAGGGTTAGAAGACTGACTAAGTGCGATCCTTTATTCACAAAAAAATAAGTAAATAAAAACAACTAACATTAGCAGACCGCCTATAGTCAATATCAGACATCGCCATGAGGCCAGTACTAATTAGTAATGGGCTCCTGAAATGATACAATTGAAAAAAGTTTCTTTGTTTGTTCAACTTTTCTTTTTGTTTCTTTATTTACTACTAACTTTCTTCCATTCTTTATTTTTCACCTACTCATTTCGGTAATTTCTATTTATTTTTGAACTTTCCATCTCTTTTTTATGCCATTTCCTCGTTTTTCATTTTCACTAATAGCAAAAACCACCAGGCGTTCCACGATGGCCGTTTTTCCTGGGTCCGAGGATTACCATCTTTGTAAATTTGTCATCGAAGAAGTGCAAAGATGTCTTCGTCGTTTGTCAAATTGTCGCTGTTTTGCACCACAAATTACTCCCCTTTTGTGTAATACAACATGTCTGGTTCCAGTTCAAACCAAAGATTTGCAGATTACTTCGTAATATGTGGGTTGGACACTGTTACAGGACTGGAACCGGACCAGCTTTCAGGTATCAAAGTGATTTGAATTTAATGTTTTTTGAGCAAATTAGATATTTATGTAGTAATTTTTCGATATTATATCGATAATATGACATTCTATACTGTATTAACATGAAATGTATTTCCTTTTGCTTGATTTGAATCAGTTTATTTGCTGTTTCAGCTCAAAATGATACGGTGTTGATTAAAAAACACTAGGTTTCATTCAAAGATTTTTCTACTAAATTTTCTCCTTTGATGGCTAGATTTGGGATATTTATATGCAATGGCAACATCTTTAAAATTATACCAATTTTATCTACTTAAATGATGAAAGAGATTATGTTTTCCCACAAGCAATTTAATGTAATGTCATGTCATGTGAAATCAGTTGATTGAACAAGCATTTTTCTCTTCTTGTACAAATACAGTGTTATTATATCGATATCCTGTTGTTCTGGAACTGAATGATGAATTAACCTAAATCCAGATCAATTTGCATTAAGACTAATATAGTTTCCCATTTATCAATGATTGTATCTAAGACATTTTACCTCATTTATTAAAATTTATCYTTCATTAGCTTCAAACTGATTTACTCAACTCCTACAAAATCATCACACAATATAACAATGTTATTTGAAGGATTTGACAAGCTTTACTTTGATATCATTTCCTTGTTGTGCTCAGGCGATTCTCTTCACATCTCTCCTCTGAAGCGGTCTTAYAAGGCAAAGGTACTAGCACATTATCCAGCCAATGTTGAGTGGAACCCCTTTGATGAAGATGCTGTTAGACTGGTAGGTCATGTAACTTCTTGTTCTCAGATATGGCTGAATTTGACAATACTATATACTTCAGCAATAAGAGACATATTTCAACATACTTTAATTTGATGTATATGTACAGAATACAGAAGCCATTTGGTGGTTTTGATCATACCAACAAAGCCCCAAACCTCACCAAATTGTCTTTCTAGACTTTTCCCTCAAAACCAAATGAGCTGTGATTTTTTTTAATGTTTGAAGGTCATTTGGTTTTTGAGGGTGCTTATCAAAATCAGTCAAGATGTTTTGATTGACAGGAGAAAAAAAAATTCTATTCATTTTCTTTGCAGCTCTCTTTTCCTCAAGGTCTTCACTTCAAGAAGCAGTCAGAACCCCACGATCCTACCTTACATTCCTTCCTTATTACAAGAGAAGATGGGTCCAGAGTATACGGCTGTGCCCTTTCATTCTAYGAGGTGGTMACYAACCAGCAAATCTGCAGYGCAATGCAGACACTGCATGACATGCATGAGGCTGAGCTTAACATTGCAAGGTCAAAATCAMKAATACGAGCAAGGTCTCCYATCACTGTCAGCACTTCAGATAGCACAATTGTTGAAAATTGTCTTGGTTCTGAATTTGATGAGCAAATATTATCCGAAAAGTGTTCGTTTGATCTCAGGAATGATGTTTTAATGGTTTCAAAATGTGTGTCTATCATTACTCCCCTTCCATTTATGTCGGCCTGTGGGAAATTTCTAGAACAACTCTACGAAGCTGCAAATAATGAACAAGTCTTGCCWCTTCCACTTGAATCGTACATTTATAACTTGTTATATGAAGTACCACTTCCACCGCCTGGTCGCACTATGAGGTTTAAAGGCTTTATTCATGATATAACATGTCAGCGACCTGGTCCAAATGAGCTGCCATTGTTTGATTATTCATTGAAGGATATGTTTTCCTTGCTTGGCGTGGAAAATATTGTGGAATTGTTTACTTGTGTTCTTCTGGAGTACCAGATCCTATTGTTATCTAATAGTAAGTATGAAATTGCACTTGAAAATGAATGAATGAATAAATGAATGGGMTATAGAAATGGATGGAAGAATAAATRAATGGATGAAAAAATGAATGAATGATTAAATGAATGGATATACAAATATATAAATATGTTTATTAAGTCTTAAAATGAAATTAGATTGATGCAATTTTTTCTCTTTCCAGGTTACCAAAAATTTATGTTGGTTGCAGAAAGTATAACAAATCTGATATTTCCATTTGTTTGGCAACATGTTTATGTTCCTATCCTCCCAGCATCTTTACAACATTTCCTTGATGCCCCTGTTCCATTTTTGATGGGATTATACTGTGATACTGAAGAAGATAAAGAGAAATTAAAGCTTCCTTCAGAGGTAATCAGGTCATCAACATAACTCAACAACTTGCAATATAGGGCTGGTTGTATGATGGTTGAGGCAGCCATTCCATAGATTTTGTGTGGATTTTATTCTTTGGATTTATGCTGTGGGTAGAACCAGCCCAGGGCTCGAAATAACGACCAGACATATGCAGGACAAGATGTCCTTCCAAATTGATTTTTGGAAGGTCATGTCGAGTTTTGAAAGGACAAAAACTTTATTATACTGTTATTTTCTTTTAAATCATACGTTTTTTTTATCCAGAAAGATCGAAAAGCATTGTAATGGATGCAAAAGATTTTTTTATGGGAATTGAGAATTGATTTGTCTAAAAATGTGGCAGGTAAATTTGTCCTTTCAAAACCCGATTTTGGCCAGTCATCTAGCGAATTTTGAAGGGCATTGTCCTTTGACCAGCCGTTATTTCGAGCCCTGCAACCTCTGTACAATAATTAGATATCAAAATGGAAATTTCTAGTTTACTGGAGCTTGAAATATGTGTAGCTAAAGAAGTATTGTTTGTTGTGTTGTTGTGTTGGTGATTTTTTCTTATTATATGTTGTTGCTTGCAGGTTATTATGCTGTAAATGTTTTGTATTTTTTGTTAGTCTTTAAATTGTGTTGGTGTTTTTCTTTTTGTGTTGTTGCTTGCAGGTTATTGTCATATTTTTTTCTCTTGTAGGCTTCTCTTTGTCTAGTTGATATCGACAACTGCAAGGTGACTACACCAGAAGATCTTCCTGAGTTCCCCAACAAACAAGACTTGATTGAAGAACTCAAGGAAACCATTCAGAAATTTAACATCCCATCTTGTCAATCAACTCCAATAAATAGTAGACCAAATAGCATGGGAAATAGCATCACTGATTCATTGAATTTATCTCAAAACAACTCATTGCTATCTGTTTCAAGTGACACTAATGAGAGTGAAAGTGGAAGTCCAACAGGATCTCCAAGAAATTCAGTATCATTATCGCCAAGCATGTCGAGAAAGAGAGCATCTCCTACACTAGGTAAGAAAGACAAGACACGAGTACGGCCTAGAAGAACATCCACAGATAACAGAGCTTTGAAATCTAAGTCAGCAACTTCATTAGACCTCTCTMAAAACCCAAGACTACAGGCAATAGCTGCAATAGCAGAAAGAACTGGTATCATTGCACCYATCTCATCAATAGTTTCWAATCTCGAGAAATCTGCCTCCGACTCTCAGCTTAACACATACTTACGAGAAGAAGAAATCTTTATTTTTGGTGAGCCAGCCAAAGAAATTAGCCGTCAGCAACAGCATGAGAATGAGTTCAATACTGCAACTAGAGAAATATTTGCTAACAGATTTACACAACTTCTGCTTGAATATGAGTCTTTTGTGATTCAACCAAGACAGGATTTTGAACAATGGACTTCAAATCGAGAACAGATGCAGAATTTTGATAAAGCTTCRTTTCTTTCTGATCAACCAACACAGTTTCTTGCCTTTTTGTCTCCATTCACTGAGACACAGATGTTTGCTAGTTTTATTGATATGAAGATTTTGGCAAGTTGGGAAGARGCYGACCCAAGTCTTGCTGTGTTTGATCAAAGAGTTGAAAATATGAAGAACAGGCTTGGGGTTGTAAGGTCACCATCGTATGAAAAGTGTATGTCTCTCAAGAACTCAAGTAAGTAGAAATCATTCAAGAATGATTTGTTTTCACTCTTATTCATGAAATAGACCCCTTGCATGTGACGTCACTCAAAGCAGCTTCATCTAGAGGACAAAACAAAAGATTTTGCCCTCTCAGAAACTAGAATCTATTCATTTGTTCTCCAGTTGGAATTGCATTCTCACGAACTGCAATGGGTCTATAGCTGCAATGATCTATCCATTCAATTCATTCATTAATTTATTAATCAATTTTTCTGTTTATCCATTAATTCATTCATTTATTTTATTTATACTTCGTACTATTTCTAATTTCTTTTCTTGCAGTCCAAGTACTTCTTAAAAGATCCAATTCTGTTGACTACTTGGCTGCTGCTCCTCATCATCTAGACGTACCAGAACAAGGTACTGATATCAAAATTGCTTTAAAAAAGCCATGTTGAAATTCCTTATAATAGACTAAGAATTATTATTTTTTTCAGAGAGAGGACAACAGCTGTTTGGGAATTTGAACAGCGAAGTCTTATTAGATGGGCCACAAGGAAGGGGGTGAGTWCATTTCTTTGGATTTTAGAAATATTTCGAATTTGTTTATAACTATGATTTCAAGACTTATTCAATTTTTTCAAATTTTCATTATTTAGTATTTTTTCTACTTTTTTCRTCATATAATTGGCTTTTATTTTGGCATTTGTGTTTGGATGTTCCCATTCTTTCATCTGTTCTTTCATTTGTTCATTCAGTCATTCATCATTCTTTCATCCATTTTTTCTGAATGTGATTCATCTCTTCATATGTCCTTCTGTTTATTCATTCATTCTATTATTCACTTATTCATCCTTGATCTATGCATTGGATTTCTTTCTCTTTCTCTTTTTTCATTTCATTTCAAATTCATTTTAGCAATAAAGTCAACTGGAAGAAGCGAAGCAGAMAACAGCGTCATGCAGAGCATGTATTACTAAACACATCTAAGGTAAGTAATTCACACCGACTTAATGCTATGTAAWCATAAATGTATTATAATTCTATTCRTTGTTTATAGTGCATGTTAGTKCCAGTCATCTAGCTGTCTGTTTACAGCTGTTTCTAACCCCTCCCCGTTCATTTTTTTTGTTTCTTAATGTTTTTTTTTTTCACTAATATAAAATAAGATAATATAAGATATAAATTCTCTTACTGTGATGTGTTACTAAGTAATTTGATATGTAATCACCTTTAAAATCTAAGCTATTTGTAACCATATTTAACCTTTTGTCACGTCTATCAGTAGTCTATCTCTCTGAAGTCCAATATATTTAATGTCTTTGGAATATCAGCTGCAATATTTTGCCTAAGGAGCTGAATATCCTGTCTACTTCTAATGGCATTTTGTTCTGAAAAAAAAACCTAATTAGCAGAGAATTAGATTTGTATGATTCAAATGTCAACCAGACACATTCTTGGTGTAGTCATTGTGGTTTTTATAGCTTAGTCAAAAATATTTTATGTCAAAAGGAGTTGCCTTTGAAATTATTACATTAAGCAGCTGTATTTATTAGGTAAAGTATACCATCAGAAAATCTTGCCTTCATTTAGTTACATGTAGGTTAATTTAATTCATATCGGGATGTCAGAACTCATTATTATTACCCATGATTTTTTAAGGTCTCAGTGTTTTMCTTGTGTTTTCTTTTTAGGTGCGTTTTGAATATGTGAATTGTTTCCCTTTATTTCCCTTTATTTTCTTAAATAATCATGATTCTATGCCATTAATATAAATCTCTTTWTACTGCTTAGTTTATAAGCTTGAAATAAATGATGAGTTTATCTGTTATTGTCTGTTGTACAAAAAAACTACCTCTAAGAACAGCTGTAAAAATCAAAATATATCTCAGTAAATGACCACAAATTAAATTAAACCATAAACATTGTATAGAAATTCCCTTTTGAGATATTACTTCAATAACTAATACTGATGTGTATGGCTCAAAATTGTCATTATCATTATCTTTAGGATGGTAAAAAGATGAGAGATAAACTAGCTCTCAGCTTGAAGGTATGTCCTGTTGTTTTGAATAAAAATGTTAATTAGGAAGTCTATTTTTGTGTTGAAATAATCATGTGTTTCCTACACTAAGTAGCTTTCTTTATAAATAAAACATTCCTATATATACAATCTGAGTACATTGAACATTGAGCCATAAAAACCTGTTGTATTTACAAAGGTTAGTAAAATTATTTGTATGATCATTAAGTAATGGAACAAGATTTCTGTTGACTTTGAATTTTTAAAATCAGCCCATTTTATTCATAACTCAATTTCTATGTATTTATTTTGATAAAATGCCAGTTACATGGCTTGTTTTTGTGTTTTTCTATTAGGTATATCATGCTTTTTCTAGATTTTTCTCCTTTTCAAGCAAAAGAACTACAGTACACAATTGTAATTTCACATTATTTAATACGTAATTGTACAAAGAACAGTTTTTTGTCTACATAAGTGTTTTTTTTTTTTCAATGGTTTGTACAATGGTATTTGAAATTCAAACTTTGTATTTTGGGTATTTTTTAAAGACAAATTATTTTATAGTTCAAAGTTGTATAAATAATGGTTTCTCTAAAATATAATCTGTCATTATTAGCTTCATAACATTTCATTTATCAGGGCAGYAGACCCTCAAAATCATGTAATAATAGTGTTGCAAATGTACTATGTTTTTTTATTCATAATGTAAAATTTTGACTTGATCTTTGATTTTTGTTGTAAGTACTGAATGGACAGATTAAATAAAACTGATAAACAGAGAAGTGATTGAATGAACAAATAATGAATAAATGAAAAATATATGAACGAATAAATAAGAAAAAGATAGAAATAAATGAACAATATYAGATGCACGACTGGTCGACCAAATAAACTATCAAATTGAAAACGTGAAGAAATCCTAATTTAACTTTTGTTGACAGAAATTCATGCAGGAGACCAAGACTAAAACAAGTCCAGGACCAATCGGTGACATGACAGCATTGGAGACAACACAGAATGCTTTTATTCAGAAACTTCTGAAAGAATGCAGACAAAAGGTGGGTAGACAAATCAGCTGACTGCATTGACCAATCAGAAATAAGGAAATTTGCCCAACATGAAATGAGAATGCAGAACAATTTGGATTGGAAGGTTGCTATCAATGTTTTTTCACATTGTTTCATATAATTATTAGACCAAGAGAATGCTGGTACAAAAGATGGGCCAAGAAGCTGTTGATTTAGGGCACACTGACGCCAGTGTATCCGGTGTTGAGGAGAACACTTTGATAGCAAGTCTATGTGACTTGTTAGAAAGAGTCTTCAGTCATGGACTACAGACAAAGGAGGTGMGAAAATACAAATAACCACSCTGTACATGCACATGTAGYGATACTCAATRTGACMTAAGCMTTTGTTATTSATGTGCCAACCAGAAGAYGACTGGCTGTTAGAACAAAGCAACWTTTGAGAAGCCATTCTGATCATGGTTGGCACATYAACATAARAATGAGTTTGTTGATAWACATTGRGTATCGCTATACTGTACCAGTGACCCAGCAAAGTCAAGCCCAGGCAGCCCAACCCTTGAGCAGATTTCGTATGACTGKGCAGCGGCACAGATCACAACACAGACATGACATGGCACAGTCACGGAACCTCRCCTTCTAGGATTCCAAAAAAAAAAAATATTTAACGATACATCACTGCTGCTGAAGGTACAGTAACACCGCGAAAGTACTGTGTGTTTTGCACAGTCATACGAAATCGGCTCTAACAACAACATAAACAGCTTAAAAGCTATTTTATCAACCTCCAATTTAACCATTGAAAAATTTAATATAATTGTCAACTGCCAATCATCATATGTTGTACACACATTTTCCCTGATAGTAGTTCAGCTTTCTAACTTTGTCTGTTCTCAGGGCAAGTCATCTCTGTGGTCACATCTACAAGCCTATCAGTGCTTAATGGAGAGTAACGATGATGGACCACATGACCATAACTACTTGTCTCCATCAGGTAAATTACCTTATATCATTGGGCTTCCTGTGGACACAGTGTATAACTTGTTTGTGTATCTTTATAGGAAGCACAAAGTCRYTGCTTGATTCTCCCTCTAAACAACTGAATGTAAGAMGGCGGAGTGCTGGTGCAGATATTCTTGCAATGATGCAACCTATGCAACAGCCCAGTTCAGCACTGGCTGATATGAAGTAAGTATTCCTATATTTCTTTGTTTATTCTGACTCCTTTTATCACTTATGATTTGAGATTGTTTTCATCTTAGGCATGTGCAAACCATGTCAGAAATTAAGACAGATATTGGTCATGCTAGAGCATGGGCAAGGTAAGCTTACATATTCCTGAGAATTCTCAATTATATTATTGATTAGAATTATTACTATCTATTCCCATTCATCTATTCATACCAATTTATTCATTCCCATTCATTCATTCATTATTTCATCCCATTTTTTTATTCGACTAATTATTTATTTCAAATGTACTAATTGATTTTTCTATTTGATTATAGGTTATCACTGGAGAAGAAAGTCCTGTCTAAACACCTCAAACAGATTGTGAATGATGAYAGACTTTTGAGGTGAGAGAAATGATAGCTACCTGTGAATGATTGTCTGGAGGTGTGAATGTCGGTTTCTATCATTGCATGCTTAATGGTCACAAGGCACAAGGCACATCTACCTTTCAAGATGGTTCAGGGAACTGTGAAGGAAACTTTTTTTGCTACTTAATCATATTTTGAGTGTTTTTTTTTTCTTTTCAAAGGATGAGATACAAGGATTATGCCTTTTTAAGGACAGAAGAAGAAAGAGAACAGTTTCTATTTCATCTTTTATCATTGAATGCTGTGGATTTTTTTTGTTTCACCAACTGCTTYACTTCAGGTTTGARMCMAYCATCACTACAATATTGTATTCAAACCTTGCTTTCTTTCATTTCTTTGAACTAAAAAAGGAGATAATTTCAATGCATGCTAACTATGGCTC